CCAAAGCCCTATTTTAATCATTAAGGCCCCTAAATTGACCCCCCCCAGGATGTTGTTGCCGCTTTTCAGCCTATGATATTGGGGGTTTGGGGGTTTAAGGAATGAAGGGATAGGGTCTAGGTATAAGGCTAAGCGTGATGTTGGGCAGGAGCGCCGTAATATTTAGTTGGAAGGGGTTGTTGTGTATAGTAGTGTATGGAATAGAGCAAGGAACCAGAAATAGGAGTAGTATGACTAGTTAGTTCAGGCTTCTATATTATACTACAAGGGTCCATGGCAGATTCTACGTCAGGCCGGTCCTTCTGTAGAACTTGGAGCACAGGGTCTTACCAGACCCTGAACCCTAAACCCTTCTCTAAATTAGGCTCCATGTGAGGTTCCCGCCCGAACAAAAAGGACCTTAAAAGGGACCCTCATTTGGTGAATTACCCGTATTTGTAGAATATGAGCCGGCGCCCAGAATCCACAGGTAGAACATGTATGCCTATTCTCTGTTGCTGCCTATCCTTTACATAAAAATACTATGCCAAAACCTTATTCTAATATTAAGGCCCTTGTCGTACCCTTAACTTTGGCCATCCAACTTCATCTGGGTGGTTGTCAAAATTATGGTCCCTTTTTGGGTCCTTATTATAATACGGCACCTATTATTTAGGGTACCCCCAAAGGGACCATATTTTTGACAACTACCCATCTGGAAGAGCTGGCTAATCCAATCGTTAAGCCGAAGCCGCAAACGGAAGCGGAGCCCAAAACACCTCACTCCGACGTCTCGAAAGGCCACATAACCCTAACCCCGAAACCCGAAACCCTGAACCGCAAACCCCAAACCCCAAACCGTAAACCCTAAACCCGAAACCCTAAACCCGAAACCCGAAACCCTACACCCTATAAACCCTAAGCCCTAAGCCCTAAAGAGGGATCTTGAGGTTCAGCGTATCGGTGGTTTTGGTGCCTGGCCAAATCAAGCCAAATCCCAAATTCATCCCTGGACCCTCCGCCTTGAACCCTAAACCCTAAAATATTAACAGGGTTTAGGGTTTAGGGTCCAGGGTTTTGGGTTTAGGTTTATGTTTTGGGTTTGGGGTTTAGGGTTTAGGGTTTAGGGTTCAGGGTTTTGGGTTTAGGGTTTTGGGTTTAGGGTTTAGTGTTAATCCCCAAGCCTTAAACTCTAAAACCCCCAACCCCTCGAGGAAGAGGTGGTCGATCCAGATGAGGACGGGGAGGAGGAGGATGTTGATGTGGACGGCGCCATGGCGACGTGGCTGCAGCTACCCATGCCACGAAAGGGTTCCGAAAGGACTCTATGAGTGGGAGCTAGGAATAGGGGGACCCTTGGGGATATAGACCCTCTCAATAAGGTCCCTTTTAAGAGAGCCAAAAGTAGGGTTCAGAAGGGGTACCCTTTAAGGGGTACCTCTAATTCTACTACCTATGAGGGGTCTATGAGCACCCTATACCTTAAACCCTAAACTACAGCGGGTCGACAAGGGCTCCACCAGGGAATTAGAAAGGTGTCGGGGTCCAGGAGTCCGGCCAATAGTTGCAGTATCAGCAATAACAATGACAAGGGTAGCAATATCACACATATTAGTTTAGGAATAGATACAAAAATATTGAGTATAATGTTCATAGCAACCATAATTATACTCTGTCAATATTCACAACATAACTACAAATCGAAGAAACACTAGCAATGGAACGGGGGCTGGAGTAATCAACAACGTTGCCCCCTAGAGTTCCCAGAACAGTGTAGTACTAGAGCGATTCCAAACCTTATTCCAACACTTATGCACCCAATGTTCGGCTTTGGGGCTTGGGGCTTCGGGTCCTTGGCTTGCGGGGTTCAGCATTTGTTTGGGATTTCGGGTATGCGTGGGTGAGAGCGACGGTCAAAATGGGGTTGAGGGGCTTGGAGGTTTTCTAGCTTAGGGTTGTGAGAAAAACGAACAGGATCCAAACCCTAAACCCCAAAACCCTAAACCCCGAAACCCTTAAACCCAAAACCCCTAAACCCCGAAACCCTTAAACCCTAAACCCCAAACCGCTAAACCCCTAAACCCTGAACCCCAAACCCTCAACCGCAAACACGAAAGCGAAAGCCTTAAAGTCTTCGTCGAATCCACGGCCAATTTCGAGATTTCCCCACAGCCTCAGGCCTTACACCCTAAATTAGGTCTCGATTTGTGATAATGTTTAGTTTCCCTTATTGTTAAAAATAGATCCCCAGTTATAAAGAATTAGGACGGTTGATATCGACACCTAGTACATGGGTAATTCTCTAGATTCGGGTCTTTTTTAGGGTCCTTCTCATCTTAAGGTCTACAAAGGTATTTAGGGTCTAGGGTAGTTCCCTACATTCGGGTCCCTTTTAGGGCCCCTCTTATCCCTAAACCCTAAACCCTAAACCTACCATATTGGGGGCCGAAAAGGGCACCTACTGTAGATCGCACATGCGACCCCTGAGCTCTCAACCTTAAACCCTGAGCCCGAAATCCTAATCTTTTTTAGGGTTTAGGGTTCAGGGTTTAGGGTTTAGGGGTTCCTTTTCTTAAACCTTTCCGTCCTTAAACCCCGAAATCACACATCCTACACCTCGGAGACTTCGGGTGTTTTTGTTCCTGGAACAATTGACAATGGCCCATGGTTCATAGCTGTCTTTTCTACAGGGTCCTATAAGGGTTCTGTTTCTGGGTGCTTGTCATACAGAGAACTTACATAATTGAGTCATGGAAGGTTCACGATTTGGAGTACAGGGTCCAGTTACCATCAGTCCATCATATAGACGGCATGTTGTTGCCCTTATGACTATGCGTATAGCCCTACTATGGCAACTTGAAATCAGACCCAAGAGGTTCCACTTTAAACCTTAAGCCCTGAACCGTGAACCGCAACTGTTAAAACCCTAAACCCTAAGCCGTGAACCGAAAACCCTAAACCCTAAACCTGCAACCTAAACCCAGTAACGAACTTCAAAGTTTTAGCAGCCGGCGTTAGGATTTGAGTCTGAGATGCGTTGAGCGCGGCGCGGCGTCTCGCATCCTTGATTCGAAACCTCACATGGGCCCTGACGAACCTATCTTTTGGAGCCTTGTTACCCAGAGAGTCCACATATACTACAAGTATGGAATTAGGCCCCAAACGACCATCCTTACTATGGTTTTGGGGGACCTAATTCCGTAATAGTAGCTTTTATGTGGACTCTCTTGGTTATGAGTTCCTTACAAGTCGTTGTCGCTGAAAAGGTAGGTGATTTATGTATAGGGTTTAGGGTTTAGGGTTTAGGGTTTAGGGGTTAGGGTTTATAGGGTCCAGTATCCCTGGACCTTTAGCTCTAGCGGCACGCATCCTTTTACAACTTTGTTTGTGGGGTGTGACGTGATGGTGTGTCCTCTCACTTACCCTGAACCCTAAACCTAAACCCCAAGCCCTGAACCCTAAACCCCGGGCCCTGAACCCTGAACCCTAAGCTGAATCGCTTGAGCCTGCTAAAATCCCAAATCCCTGAACCCCCGAAGCCTAAACCTCCAGCACTCAAGGACAAACTCCCCCCCCGATGGACCCGAGGAGTGGGAAGACGAGGACTCCGAGTATCCCGCGTTTCCCCGGAAGCTCTTCAAAGGCCTTCGTGGTGCACTGGGCCTCAGGGTTGAAAGTAGGGGGCCAGAAAGTTGGAACATCATCGTCCTGGTGCCCTACACCCTAAACCCTAAACCTAAACCCTAAACCCTAAACCCTGAACCCTAAACCCTGAACTCTAAACCCTGGACCCTAGACCCTAAACCCTAAACCCCGAACCCTAAACCCTAAACCCTAAACCCTGAAGGTAAAGTAGAAGGGATCCTAGCACTAACCGTCCTGGCTTCCCTGTAGAGTTTTTAGACATCGAAGCCGCACGATGCCAGGTCCGGGCTCTGGGTGTAGGGCTTAGGTCTTATGGGTTTAGGGTTTAGGGTTTAGGGGTTTAGGGTTGGGTTTATGGGGCTTGAGGTTTAGGGATTTAGGGTTTAGGGATTTTAGNNNGGTTTAGGGTTTAGGCTTTATAGGGGCCTAGACCCCATGCTCAAGGCCTCGAAAGGGCTTTGTCTGAGCAGAGAAGATTTGAGGGCGCTGATGGAAGCCCTTCAGTAAGCCCTAAGCCCCAGCCCCCCCCCCCCCC